TTACATACCAAACGCTCAATGTAACACGACACTCAACGCTTCGTCAATTTTTGGCTGGCGAATTGGTTTTGAATTTCTACAAAAGCTGTCATGTCGGACGTCAAAAACAAGGTAGGCATCAATATTAATTTAGTTCAAAAGAGAACTGACTCATTTGCTTTTGAAAATTTCTTTTTAAACAACAATTAATCTAAAATTATCCGAACAAAATCAAACGATGATTCGGGTTTTTTCAGTCTGCGTTTACTTATAAGACATTAAAGTCTAGATCGATTTGCAATAAATTATTAAAAATACATACATACGTTATAAAGCTGTTACATTTTCCCATTACTTCATAGAGTTTTCCGGTAGTCAATAATCTCTTAAATGATTTATACTCTGTTCTCAGTAGTGAGAAGTGCGTAAGAGCTAGTTTCGATAGTGATGTGAACATGAGATCAATATTGGAAGTTTGGAACGACTTGAAAGAAGCACCGGCAAGGAAGTGACTCACTGACATGAGCGTACAAAAGTGGCATTATACAGAAATAGAGCAACAGGATGGGTGTAACGTATGAATAATTACGTATAATAAAATTGTAATATCCCTCTAAATTATCTTTTGAAATCCCCGACAACATGTGAAACAAAGAAGATTGTCCATGACACATAATTGCCAATATCTTCAGTTAATAAAAGTAATCCTCAGATTTTGTTTTGTCTACCGATATAATAATTAGGTCGCTGTTGTGAATACTGCAGCTGCTAAATTGAACAAATTTATTTTTGTTTTATTTATTTTTTATTTCAGGTATGATAATTTATATGAAGGCATCAAGTATTATGCCTCAATATATATTAAATTTATCTACGATTCATACTTGAAAGCATATTTTTATTTCAGTTAACGAATTGTGTGATAAACTGATAAGATTTTTGACAAACTTTATTTATTTTGAGCTCTTCGCGACTGCACTCATCCTTTTGCGATAAAACAGACATTTTTTTAAATAAACTACGTTTAAAAAAAACAAACATCAAAGCCCTCTTCTTTAAAGTCGGTTCATTATGATTTCCCTATGAAACTTAACATTAAATTTTAACTTACCTTTTTAACTCACGATATTTCGTACTTAAATCTTGTAATAAATTATAATACGAGTTGCCTCATAAAAGCATTGGTTTAAATAAATTCAAATAGCCTCATAAAAAGGTTGTGGATACCTAAACAATAGGGTTATATCTAATAAATATAAGTAACTACAACATTATATTTACTTTATGAACTGGTGCTGCAAAAAACATAAACATTATGAATTATAATGGCGATAAAACACAAGCGTTCTTTATTATCTCAACGCTAAGAGCTCTATAAAGAACACGATTATTAACAAGTTGCTTTGATTTCGAACATGATCTATAATAATATCAAACACTCGACGCAACTCGATAAAGAGTAAAGAAATGTTTATAACATAAATTAGAGAGTAATGTAAATAGAAGGATATAATTCATCTAACTATGATAACATGACGATGCTTCACTAGGTTAAACAGTAACCTTCAAATACTTCGAATTCACGTTCAATTTCTGTAATAGTGGAAATGTTGTATGCTGTATTTTGCCCGTCGGCGTCGCTACTAGTGAGCAGAATAATCCATTTCAGTTATTAGATAATCTGAAACATCATTTAGTATCCTTGGTTGTCTTTGAAGTTTCAAAAAATCGATGACTGATGGCACAGGAAACTGACAAATGAAATACTAAAACTAGTAACTAACACAACATCAAAATCTCAGTACTTACTGGCTGAATACAAAATGATCAATGCTAAAAAGAATAAAAATAGTTCTGAATAGTCGAATAGTTTCAATACATGTGGTTCGCATTAGACTTTATTAATGACTTGTAACTAATGCTTTCGTACAATAAGATTTATTGTGCGGATGTCCGAGAAGTGGGCGATACGAAAACGAACGATCGACTTCAATGGAATACCATTTAATAGTTCTTTTATTGATTCTTCTCGGTCCTGTTAGTAAAATAATCAATTAACCACTTTATGAGAAAAAGGGAACATTAAGATATGAAAATTCTTGACTCGTGTTCGTAACAACACAGGCCGATTAGTTTTAGTATTTCTGCTGTCCATATTTGACTTCTCCAATGTTAATTATTGTGTTTTCGGCTTACTCACGTAACTGTTTCACGTAGCAGCAGCGCAGTAGTAACAGCGCGATAGTCGCCGCGTCGCGGGTCGCGGGTCGCGGAATGCTGCTCATGAATATGAGCCTCTAGCATGGTTTGAAACTAGTCGAGTTCCTCGTCAAACCGTTACGTGAGTAAACAGAAAACATAATAATTCTCTTAAATTCTTAATGATTCTCTTAAATTCTCTCAAACTAACCAGCGTAGTGAAGTAATAAGTAAATAGTGGCCTCCACCTAAGTAAACAAACACATCTATGACTCCTCTGGTGTTCCGGGTGTCTATGGGCGGCGCTGATCGCTTAACATCAGGTGATCCGTCTGCTCGGTTGCCTCATATTCCATAAAAAAAGAAATTAAAACAAGCCGTATTCGGCTGAGGCAAAGTCACACAACATGTATCATTTTGCATGAACAACATTAGCTGATAAACCGATTACAGATTCTTCTTCCTTTGGGATTGTCCTAGCCTAGCCAACATAACCTACCAGTCCACTCAGTTCTAATAACAATTTCTTCATCTTTCAACAAACGGTCTGAGCCATCCAATCAGACATAAGCCAGTATTTCGACCGTAGTTGAGGAGCTAAGTAGTAAATAAAACAATCAAAAACGCATTAATTTAATAAACAATTTATTTACTTAATTTCAGCTTCAGTTCATCATATAGGTTTGTATTAAAGTAAGAAATTGCATTAAAAAATTGACATTATTTTGTCATTAAATACAGACAAGTCTAGGCAGGCATAAACTTGAAATTACAACATCTGCCAAACTGCTTATACAGGATGTGATTTAAGTTAGAGCTACATTAATGTTGCCATGTGTCAAATTTTAAACAATTAATGTCTTTTCAAACGATTGGTTTATGTGTTATAGAGAAGCGACCTTCGGTTCACAACGCACACGCATATTCATAAAATCGTTTCATCCATCCAATGAGCATAGAGCACATTTAATATTACCGGCTTCTAGCGTTTTGCTTGGCATGAACTAGCATCATTATGATAATGAAAACTCAGTCAATGCCATCACCGCAACGAAACAACAATGTATTCGTGATGAAGTACTAATACTAGTGCTCTCTTAGTCTGCATTTGAAAGGGCATGCATTAATATAACTAATACAATTTCATAAAGATATTAAAAATTCTAATTATGAAATACTTATTAAATAAATACTTAATTCTAATTTCACATAGGTATCTGTTATGAGAGAGAAACATAATATTAGAATGAAATAATACTAATGAATGTTTAGATCCTTTTCAATTTGGTTACCAGACACTTTGCAGGATACGTTCAGACTGTGCTTAGTTAACTAATTTTACTGTTAAATCTAATAGATTGCCTAAATTAAATATAGTTATAATGGTACTAACCTAAATACATGACATATTTCGTTCCTATCACTATTACCTATTCCTTGTATACTTGGTCTGATACAAACTTTAACTCCTACCCTGTAGAGTTACCTCACGGCCTTCCCGTTAACTTTTATGTTCTCAAATTTTCCGACGTTTCCCAAAAGGTTTTCCACTTCCCTTATTACGTGATAAATCTCATTACTTCACATTATAAAATAACTTGGATAAATTAATGTGGAATTCAAACTAATTCTACGTGACTTTTGTAAGCAGTTGATCAGTGACTAGTGTATGCATTCATTTCTAGATAATAAGCATTTAAATTTTTCATTTTTCAACGACTCCCGCAAAATAAATAACTATAAACTAAAAATTATAAATTTAAAAATATTTCACGTATTGAAAAATAAATTAGCCTAAAATTAATTATCCTTCAAAATAAATAACTATAACAAACGCTGATGTAAAACTAAATTAACAACTATTTAAAAATATAACTATATAATAGTATGTCTACAATGCATCACCACTTGAGAAACCTGTATCAATATATTTACAAAGTCCAGTTTCAAACTGCTGCTTCAAATCATAATTCTTTTTGCAACTACGAATTCATGAAACCTTATTTAAAATTAGTCCAATATTATTCTCCAAGTAACTCATCTTCTGGTTAAACTATAAATTACAATCCAGATATTTCATAATCCTATGAAAATCTAAAGAGACAACTGATGTGACCTCAACATTACTCGAAAATATTTTGTCGTTTAATATAGAAGTAACATTTGTTTATACAAGCTTTATTGTCTGTAGGTGTAATCTATCACGGTAACGATCGGTACACTTCCGACACAACACACGACAGTGCAACCAGACGCATCATTTATATCTGCGAGACAGACACATTCAAAGACATTGCGAATTCAAAATAAATTGTAAAATTAGTTAGTTAATGATACAATCCATTCGCTCAACCATTACCGAGAGTAACCTATAAAATAAATATTCATCACACTTGTCTAGACAATAAAGCAGCCAGTCATAACGTCTTTACAAAAAACGTCAAAACAAAAATTCCAATGAGTATCAACACATAGACACTTCGTTTTGTGATGTTGGCACGCAAACAAACCCACATGCTTGAGAGTTTTCTCATTAGAGCTGCCCTCACAATAATCATAACGAGGCGGCATTTTAGCGATTATGTATTGGGTGCTTTAATTCGACGAACAAGGGTAACTAGCCTTGAACTTTGACGCGTAATGTCTAAATATCACGCGGAACGAGAGCGGCCGTGATCAAGCCTCGTATTATAAATGGAAATTATGGCGTCAGCAGTGGCAATAATGAAAGCATTACATTAGTAATGTGTCGGCAATTGAGCTTGTGTCATTGATGTCTAATAATATTCAGACAGCTTTTTACTTTCTAATTTCCATTTAGTCTAAACTGACGATTCGTAAATAACAATTTGAACTATTGGAGGTTTCTGAGTAGGGATGGGGGCTGTGATGTCTCTGATGACAGCGTCCACTGCAGCCTCCCACTCCAGTCTTCTTTTATCAGAGAGAGCATTCCCACCCGCGCTGCTTAGCCGTGGCATAGTCACCTATAACAAGGTTATTAAATTCAGACTAAACACACCATCAAATTAACTCTTAAAGCTAGTATAATAATCTTTTCAGAAGCAGCTGGGCTAAAATAAAAGTTCACAATTTGCCTTGGCAACTCTTCCATACAAAAAATTAAGAGCGCAAGCTTAATTGGCACCAAAAAAAACAACTTGACGGCGAGCTTCATTTGTTACCGTATACAAATGATTTTCTGTTTTTAGTTCTTTCGTGGCATATCAAGAGAGCTAAAGAATTTTAGGTTGGTTTTTTAACTAACGGGCGGACTCAGCGCTCTGTAGATCCACGTTTCTTACAATGTTTCTAAAATATATAATAGCCATACCTTATAGTTAGGTATGCAAGTATAGAATAATGCTAGTAAAATACTTATGTAAACATTTAATTCGTATATCGGTGCATCACTTAAACAATTTTATGACTACAATACTATTCGTGTACCGCAAAGATTTATGTGTCTACAATGTAAGTAACGGCATGTGCAGCATGAAAGCTTTATGTATTTTATTAGCCGCATTTAACGAACGAGGAACTTGCGAATTCAATTTTACTACTAGACTGCTGTAATATACAGTACTACGTAAGAACTTCATACAAGCAAACTAAGGGAGTTTCTGCTCTATAATTAAATATAAAAAGAGTTTTTCTGAACAAACATCAATGTAATTTATTCTATCAAGTGGAACTACGGGTGTACGAGAAACCCGTATCAAGTTGGAAAACAAAATCAGTCAACAACGATGAAACGTCGGATCTTTTGATTGAAGGTCGCAGCTCACAACGCTGACGCACTTTTATAATAGTTCCAAGTTTTATGACCACTAGATCGGAAACTATAAAAACACGATAAGACATTCATCTTGTGGATTGTAAAATTCAATACTGAATTTTTACCACACTAGTATAGACACCGTCCATTTTATTTAAACTACCTAGAACCAAGCTTAGGTATTTTAAGAAGACGTATCATTTATCTATCTGAAAGTAATTACGGTACATTTAAGTTTCAATTGCAAACGCCTGGCACAACTCTTCGATTTGAAAACAATATACCTACACTTTTCCCGCAATGTAAAAGCATTAGAAAATAAGGCAAGCATTACTGCACGAGACGTGAATTTTATAGGGCACTAAAGCTAAAAGGGTGTATCTTGCGACATTGAAGCGGCCTCGATGTGGTATTAGGCAAGCTATACTAAACATTACTAGCGATGTTCGATTGATTCTCTTATACAAACAGCACTGGTAAAATCATCGGCTTCAAAATACCTAAGAAAAAATTTAAACTTATTTTAAGAAAATGATCCTGGCGTATGAAATATGGTATTTGTGCCTCGCTTTGTGTTCCGTATAATAACGTGGTGGTAAACGACGGCGAAAATTTTGTAAGCTGCAAAATAAAGAGTTTAATGTAAAATTTTAATGTGTGTGATCCCAAAAGCCAGAAACATAATTACTTTGTTTGAGATCTGGCAAAATACCTTGGGAGGTGAGGTCCGAGGTTTTACCATAGTATCGGGACCGGTATAGCTTTTCTGTAAAATATTATACCTACTTAGTGATCCAAATTATCTTTTGTACATGTAACAAACAGGTTTATTTTAGTGTTAACAAAACCTTGTTCACTAGTACAATCAAACCATCCTTCGGTTTTCATTACTAACATACACCACTACAGTGAATAGTGTATAGATATCAACAAAGAACAACACACTTAAAACATAAAATAACTTTAAAAATAATCCCTCACGAACTAGAACTCAGAAATGAAAAACCAAAGGACGGATCTGACATAAATAAATATGACACACAATCAGTGAATCACAAGCTTTTGAAAATGTATACAGTACCTGGTTTGCAAAACATCTTTAGAATTGAATCATTGAAAAGTCTTAAAAATATATTCTAAAACTGACATATTTATTAGATTAAATATCTTCGCTACGACTGCTTGAATGTTTACACATCACACGTGTGAGTACTTTCTGGCTTCTTTAAACAAGGCATCAATCACGGCGTCGCGCAAGGAGTGCGAAATGTTTATGCTATCGACGAACATCTGTCAACACAAACCTCTGATCTCCCGGCACGGATTCGATGCTTTGAATGCATTTAAATGCAGTCCTGTACACCAGCATTCAAATAACTTAAGATACGCTGACCCCATTCGCGTCAAAGTGAACATAAATAGCTACTTACCACTGTAAGTACTTTGCGAAGATCGCTGTGCAGTGCAGAGACATCCACCCCTCTGCCGGCGTCGCCCAACCTTCGAAGCGTGTCTGCCAACGGGCCGGAAAGCGCCCGAAGTTGCTGCCAAGACCTGGCATACTGCCGCCTCACCAGCTCGATAATCGTAGAAGTCAGTGCCAAACCGATTAAAATGTAAACCGTACATATCAACATGTACTTTGGTCTTTCTGGGAAAAACAGAAAAGTATTTCAAAAGTGTTTATTTCTGTTACTCGGTATTCTAGTAAAACGTTGCCCCACATAAGGATTTTCTCCTGTGTCGTTACACCCAGACCCAGACACGGAACAACAATATGTGGATCACACAAAGAGTTGTTTCTTGCGGGAATCGAACCCGCAACACGTTGCGCGGCAGCCAGTTGCCCAGCCACCGCGCTTACCGTGCAGTTATCATATAGTAGTCATCATATAATTATACATTTTATTTCATTTTTCATAAGTCAACTTACTAGGGACGATATCTCCAAATCCAATTGTGGTCATAGTAATGAAGCAAAAATAAAATCCGTCATAGAAAGTCCAGTCATCTTCCCACATTTTAAATAGGCCTGCACCCGCTGATAAATACAAGAATAAGAAGCCTACAGCTCCCAGGGCATATAGTGTTCTTTGCCCAGAAGGATTAGCTTCAGAAACTCTACTGCAGCACTCTGAAATTACCAAACGTTAAAAACAAACTAAGATTGTTAAAATGGGAATGAGTATACAAAATATGAAATGTCTTTTTACTTACTTGGCATCGCAGGCAGTTGCTTAGCGATAATTGAAACAAGTGTAGCAAACACACGACCCAAGTCCGCAATGACAGTCAATGTAAGAGGTATTCCAATAAGGGCATAGGCGATACAAAACAATCTCCCCCAAAAAGTCTCTGGAACTATGTTACCATATCCTAAAAAAAAATACTTATTGGAAACTCTACTTATATAATAAATATTAATTAATAGTAATTCCTAAAGCTAGCGACAGGTAGCTCATTAAAAAACATAAAAATAGGTTTAAATAAATCCTGATTCAATGCTAAAAATATTATGCTTACATCTTTGTACACACCTATAGTGGTGAGCACAGTCGAAGAAAAGAACACAGCTTGCAGTATGCTCCATTTTTCTTCAACCGGAGGAAAATTGTTCTCTACTTCCAGGGCCAATCCACTCGAAGATGCTTCCTCGAGCACCTTTTGAAATATTTAATAAAAAAAATATTGTAGTTTATTTTGGCTTACAAAATAACCGTTTTTCTAAAATAAAAATACTAACTGCAAATTTGTATTCCTGTACTCATTCACTCTGAAATTCTAGCACAATAAATCGATGTATGAAATCTGTACCAGTAATCTACTTATTAAATTCAGATTATTTTTATTCCTTTTACCCTTTACTTACCCTCTCGTATATAGCTAAATGCTCGCTGAGTAATTTGTCAGCGCTATCAATATCCGTGCCATTATTACTGCGTTCGGACACAAAACGTATTAAGTTCCATCTCTCTGTAAGAAGTCGCTCTCTGTGAAACTCTTGCTTGGCCATTTCAGCTGGATACTCCAGAGCTCGAAATACCTAATCAAAAACAAAACGTTCATTAATAATACGCCGATTATAAGATATTGGTATATTTATTTAAGAAAAATAAAATATATTTTTATCTAAATCAGTGCGAGTAGGTAATATGGGAGTCAAATAGGTATCAACAATTAAACATTTAATTTTATTAATTATTTATAATACATAAAAACTTACACCTTCTCTATTAAGACATAAAAATATTTTAGTATACTTAGATTATTATTTGTTTAATTTAATTCTAAAAGTCTTCAAATTCATCCGGGTAAAGGCAATCTGGAGATGAAACAAGCAATTTTTCTGGAAAATCTCGAAAATTACTGGTGTCTCCAGGGTTTTTAACTTCAGGCTTATAAGGTGGTACTGTTTTATTAAGAAGGAGCGCACGCCATTTTATGTCAGAAAACCAAACGTTGGTTTTTATTTCATACACCTTCGATAAGTTTGAACACAGACGTGCAGTGGGGTCTACTTGTAAGAGATGTTTCAACAAAAATTTGCACTCATTAGACATTGTTGGTGGTGTTTTAAATCTGCCTTCAACAATCTTTTCATACAATGTAATGGGATCCCCACTACAAAAAGGCGGGTAGCCGGCACACATTTCATAAATAAGCACCCCAAGTGCCCACCAGTCCACAGGAAACGAGTATCCTTTAGATAATATCATTTCTGGTGCCAAATATTCAGGAGTCCCACAAATTGTCCACGTTCTACTTTTAATAATTTTAGCAAAACCAAAATCAATTAACTTTATATATCCATTCGCGCTAATTACAATATTTTCGGGTTTCACATTTCTGTGTATCACACTACAATAGTGAAGATATTCCAAAGCTAAAACCAATTGAGCTGCATAAAATTTCATCAAATCCTCCGATATACATCCAAATTTCTTCAACAGACTAAACATTTCTCCACCTGGTTGATAAGGTAACAAAAAGTAAACATAGACATTATCTTTAAAGCCATAATTCAAAGTCATTAAAAATGGAAATTTTATGCTCTGTAAGATATTTTTTTCCGTATACAGATGTTTTACACACTGTTTCTGGATTATCAGTCTTTTATCAACCGCCTTCATCGCATGGTATTCAAAATTGTCGGTATCACGAACTAAATACACTACTGAGAATGTTCCTTCACCAATAGTCTTTATGATATCGAAATCTATTACAGATTTCTTACAAAACGTGTTAATATGGAGCTTCTTCTCAAATTCGTGTTTTAATACTTCCAAAATTTTTAAATGCTCAATTTGCTTTTCGAGATCGAAGTCTTGTGCAAATATTACCGGTTCCGATATTTTGTCGTCTTTCATTATTGGTTTTGATTTTGAACTAGCTATAATTTAGCAACAAGATTACCATACATCTATTACGAATAATATGTCAATCAAGAGTATTATGAATTGTCGCCATAGACATGATGCAAATATGATGTTTCTCCTACTTGCTCGAAAACATCATTTTTGTACTTAGGCTGTATATACCTGTGAATTTATCACTGATATGATAAGACTAATGGAATTTATATAGAAGATGTGATATGAATTGGTGGTATAAAAAGATTGCCTCGTTTGTCCAACCAAGTAGGTTGTATACATTATACATTTAAAATATTCACATTGCATAATGGCTAATTCCTGCTTCTACCTACAATTTCGGGAAACGTGATTTCATGATATTCTTTCATTAACATATTATGAAATTGAATCACTTGAGTGTCTGCTACTGAAAGAAATTAGCTTACAATAAAATTATACCCATGAGTCTGAAATCGCCAAACAGCATCTCATTTCTTCTTTTGTCTTATCTTTGTTCTCGGCATTGTGATAGATAACTGGCTGTTATGTACATATTATAACTAACTTAATTTAGGTATTGCTAGCTTACTATTTTCAAGGGGCGCTATACATACGTCTTTGATGCGAAAATTATATTGACCTAAACTAAATAATCACTAATGCTTGTTAGAATATACAAAAGAATATAGAAGCTTTTCTATAACACTTCTTTCTGCAACTTCTATACGTGCTGTAAATATCTGCTGTGCTTCGACCACACTACCAACCCTCTGTATAAATAGATAATTGTAATTAATTGTACATTCAATAGAAATTCGTAATGTTGCAGCCAACGGATAGGCACTTGAAATCCTTTACAATACTGGTTGTATGAGCATCTTTTGTATGGCATGACAACTATTTAATTATTCTGAGTTGTTTTAGTGATTTAATATAATGATTGGCAGGTGAATAAATCTACATAGAAAATAAAAATCTTTGCTATTTTGATAATAATAGTATTCTATGAAAATGTAGGTATACATAACACTGAATGATCTACATTTTACTGTTTGCTTAATGCAAATACCTATGATTTATTAAACAGTTGAGAAACTTAAATCATGTTAACGCTATATAACTGTTATGATTTATCATACACAACTTTCAAAAGTCTTTGAATTCCTCCGCAAAAAGACACGTGTCGATTTTTAGGAGCTTGGTTTGAACTATATCGGGGAAGTTGCCAGTCTCACCAGGACCCTGTGGGTCTGGAACAAACGGTGGAGATATTTTCTGGTTTAACAGATTTGTCCAGTCTAAGTCTTTAAACCAGGGGTGAGTTTTAACACCAAAAGCTCCTTCTTTTTGAGTCCCTAAACGTCTTGTTGGATCCACTTGAAGAAAGCCCTTAAGGATACTTTTGCAATCTTGGGTCATCGTTCTTGGACATTTAAATTGGCCATCCAGTACCTTCTCATAAAGTTTGCTGGGATCTGACGCAAAAAACGGTGGATTTCCGACAACCATTTCAAAAATCAAAATACCAACCGCCCACCAATCGACTGCAAAATTATACCCTCTGGACATAATGATCTCTGGTGCTAAATATTCAGGAGTCCCACATAGTGTCCAAGTCTTTTTCTTTATTATTTTACAAAATCCAAAATCACAGAGCTTAATGTATCCAGTTGTTTCTATTAATATATTCTCTGGTTTTATATCTCTGTGAATTATATGACAATGATGTAGATATTCTAGTGCCAAAACTAATTGACCAACATAGAATATTGCTAAGTTTTCAGAAAAACTTCCATATTTTTGTAAGTAAGTAAACATTTCTCCACCAGAAACATAGGGCAAGATAAAATATAAATACATATTATCTTTAAAAGCATAGTCTAAGCTTACAATGAATGGAAACTTCACACACCGTAGAATTTCTTTCTCAAGTATCAAGTGCTTCACATGCTTCCTCTGCACCACGATTCCTTTATCAACAACTTTCATCGCGTGGTAGTTGAACGTACATTTGTCTCTTACTAAGAATACTTCACCGTATGCTCCATTACCAATGGCTTTGAGTCGATCGTAGTCATCAGGTGTCTTGGTTTCTGTAGGAGGCTCACTGAATTTTTTTGCAAACTCGTCTTTAAGCACGTCTAGAAACCGTTTGTGATCTTCCTGCTGTTGCGGAAAATATTTAGGCATACCTCGTTATATAAAATTAAAAATTCCATTTAAAAAAACTGTCTAAATAACTAAATCACCTCTAAAATTAAAATATTTGTAAACATACGTACAATTATGGTAAATACGTTACTATGTGACGTTGTATGACGTTATCTAAAACAGATAACCCACCCAATGTAGTGGATAATAGTTGATTAAAAACTTTTTTGTCTTTTAACAAAATAGTTCGTATTAAGTTCGTAGGATCTCTCAGTCTTCCAATACAAAAAGTTTCTTTAGGATCTCTTTTTTTTATAGCGTAAAGGTGTAGTGACTTATTTGATAAAAGTTACCCATTACTTTTTTCCAGTCCGACTGATTACATTGTATTTTGAAAACTAAACACAGGAGAAGCGAAGAATAAGTAACAACATATTTAAACATTGTAATAATTCTACCCACTCTATATGACTACACTACACTGCACTGGAACTTGTGTTTTGGTGTTTACCTTATTACTTACCACTGTTTAACTGCACTTACGTCCATTACTTATTATATACTCCTTGGAGTTGCTTATGTCATTCGTCTAATACATTTCATAGAAAAAGCTATCTCTTCATTTGTTATTACAGTGTCATTGCAATAAAGAGTAGTATATTAAGTAAAGGGATTGCAATTACTTCAAGATATTTTCTATTCGCCCGTTTTACGTGCCCAATTTTAAATAGCTATAAATGTACCAGTGTTAAACTGGTACGATATTTATTTGTAAATTTTTCAATAACTTATTCAAACTGTTCGGCGTAGGGGAAGGCGGACACGAGATGGCCGAGGAAGTGAAATATTCTTTCTCACCGGACCATCAAGGTGGATATCCGCGAGCTAAACAAGAACAATACTCGCTTTATTTACGTAAGCTTCATCAAGACTTTATAGATTCATGGAACGAAAAATCTGAAAGCAACGCGAAATTGAGCGACTTTGAAAGATATAAAGTCCTTGGCACAGGAGCTTTCGGAGTAGTGTACCTTGTAAAACACGCGACCACTGGGAAATACTACGCAATGAAAGCTTTAGAAAAAGAAAAAATAGTTAAATTAAAACAAATTGAACATAGTTTTTACGAGAAGAAAATTTTGTGTGGACTTAACTTTCCATTTGTTGTTTACATGAAATATTATTTTAAGGACAATGTATATGTATACTTTGTTTTACCATTCATATGCGGTGGAGAAATGTTCACTCACCTACGGAAAATGGGGAAATTCGAGGAAAATTCTTCTAAGTTTTATGGCGCTCAAGTAGTACTCGCTTTAGAATATCTACATTCATGTGAGCTGGTATATCGTGATTTGAAACCAGAAAACATTTTGATTGACAGAACAGGATACATCAAAATTACCGATTTCGGATTCTGCAAGTTAATACGTGGTCGAACGTGGACTCTCTGTGGCACTCCAGAATATCTGGCACCAGAGATCATTCTTAGTAAGGGTTATGGGATGTCTGTAGACTGGTGGTCACTTGGCATTCTATTGTTTGAAATGAGTGCTGGTCATCCACCATTCTTTGCTTCAGATCCTATGAGAATATATGAGAAAATTGTAGCTGGGAAATATAGATGTCCGGGTCACTTTACAACTGAACTGAAGGATCTGATCGGACACGTTCTTCAAGTCGATGTAACGAGGCGTTACGGGGTTCTTAAAGATGGTGTTTTGGATTTTAAGAATCACAAATGGTTTAAAGAAGTTGATTGGGATAACCTCTTGAATAGTAGAATACACCCACCGTTTATTCCAAAAGTGAAATCTCCCGGTGATACGGCAAATTTCGATGCATTTGAAGAAGAAAAACTTAAAGAAAGTCCTGTATGTCTTTTTGAGGAAGAGTTTATAGATTTTTAATATTTTAACGCACAGACTATTGTTTCTATGCGGCACTTTAAGACAATAAGGAAATAATTTAGTTTAAGTACATATGGTATTTTAAGTTTTCACAGCAAGTAATGAACGTAACATTTATTCGATTGATAAATAAGACAATGTGCTTATGTCTTGTCACATTTATCGAGACGTGCTTTGCTTTTAAATATAAAATTTATTTACTTATTCATTTTGAAATTGATGTTTCATTTTATTTATTTTTTTACTTTCTTAGATAAAAATTATCTCATGGTCGAAAAGTCAATAGAACTTACCAACCCTCCGCCGCCAGTGTACAACATGAGAGCCACGAAGAGGCCCACGTGGGACAGCGCCGCTCTGGGCTCGAAGCTCCCCCACTTGGACTTGGGGGGAGTACCCATCAAGGTCTCCGTCTCCCATGAAACGTTCTTCACGTTTTTGCACATATTGTCAGGTCCTTTTCACTTTCACTAATAACAAAACCATTTCTTGTTCGTGTTTTGGGTTCAATCACTTGTTTTATCGTTCATTTTGTGAAACTGTCGAAATAAATAATGTTAATCTATAATTATTTGTTCCTGATGACTACTTACTTACTGACGAATATTTTGTCGCACTGCAGTATTAGATTTAAAAAAGTAATTTACAAAGTCTTACTGTCAAACCCTACTCAAATATTGAAGAAGTTGGTGTGACCTAGAAGTTCTGGATCTTAAATTTTTGTTACAATCGGTAAAAGCACTTGATTTGCAGTGTTTTCAAAATCATTGTATCCTTAGCTATTGCTTTTGTATATTATTTGTAGAAACTAAAGGACTCGTTTGGCAATATGCCAATAACTTACTAACCGAGTTAGGGACACACCTCGATCTTCTAATAAAAGGAGAATTTGAGACAGACTCTGGGAAACCCAAAATTATAATGAGAAAGCCAAAAATACTTGGTATTGCCGGTTTTCAGACAAAGAAATTCCGAATTGTGTATGAAAATAAACTTTTCGTAACACGAAGCTGACTAATGTTACTACCTACATAATAAAAATTAATCTGTCTACCGCTAACGAATAATTCACTTAAAGATAACATTACATAAATATAATATTCACCATAATTTTCCATGTCTCGGAAAAATTCAACAGTGGGTATTAACAGAAACCATAACATCAGATATTTAACACTTTTAGAAATGTTTTTGTATTCACTTGTAGATTCGCTCTACTTGTATTATAGAGGCTGTATGAAATATATTATGACAGCTACACTGGTTGAATATTAATTATGGTCTATCATCATTTCATTATTCCAGGGTACAACCATAAAAGGTACAACCTACGCTACATGTAGTGTATCTATCACCTTCAGGGCTAAACAGATATGACGTGTTCAATCAAAATATATAACATATAAACGTAACATGACGTCACACCTTTTAATCCCAAAAGGAGTAGACGATGTGGAAATATACAATTTACTACTAACTTTATATGTATATTAACACTCAAAGTCAAAGTAAAAATCATTTATTTCAATTAGACCAGGAAAACACTTTTGAACGTCAAAACTAAATATTGAAATATAAAAAAAAAACACTGATACCTTAATTATATTTTACTTTTTAATAAGAAACTAAGACTTTAGTTTGGACGAACGAGTCTGAGCTCGTCCGTCTTTTGCACAGGATTCATAACAAATCCTATGAAAAGTGAAACATTAAGTTCAAACAAAAGTACCTACTCAATTGATTTTAGAATACTTTGTGAGAGGCAGACAAGTAACTGAAAAGAAAATACTATCCTATTTTCCCCACAGAGCTAGAATGGTGACGGCATAAATATTTCTTAATCCCACAATAAATGGTAGTGGACGTGTCCACAAATTGAATTATGTTGACAAATTCCCAGGATCATGGAACTACGTGACTTTGTTATAACATGTGTATCCGATCGTATTACACAATAAGTTATGTTATATGCTTAATAACTAAAAAAAATAAATCAATCGTTCGGCAAAAATGACCCTTAATAATAGTACTAGATACTAATTTCCTTATTCAAAACACCTGAATATTGTATTTCGTGCAATTTGGCAAGTCTCACAAAGAAATCCAGGTAGCTGCCAAGAGTATTATTTTCAAGAATATATTTTAAATTCTCTCGATTTTTTCTCTTTATTTTAAAACGAATTTAAATAACTCATACAAAATTTAATACCATATTTACTGATTTAACTAATATTTAAATGATTTAGTCACTGATCGCACCAATTTCATACCACAAAATGTATTTTAGTTTTGTATCTATATATAGTCGACTTTTATAAACTACTTCGATACACTCTGAGGCGGGTTTAAACCTTTATCTTTAACCTCAAATAGACGGTGATAAATAGAACAGGTAGTGAAGCTAATGTAGCTACAAATAAAGAATTGCTGAGCCTTCGTGTGTCCGTAAAGATTGTGAAAATGATACACTCTACAGAGTTTCCCTGTAGGTAATTTGCTTGATTAAAAAGGATTAATAATAATTAGCTAGACTAAACTTGGTTTACCTAGCTATAGTTGTATAAAGACTGGTTTAAGTCAAAGTCAAAGTCAAAGTCAAAATCATTTATTTCAATTAGGCCAGAATAGCACTTTTGAACGTCAACAAAAAGAAAATTACAAGTGAAGCTATTTGCTCATTCCAAGGTGTAGATTCCTATGGAGAAGAACGAGCAAGAAACTCCATAGGTTACTCTTTTTCAATCAGGTTCACAATACAATTTAATAGTTACATAGTTTTGCTGTTTGGATTGTGCGAGAACAATGTAACACCAAAATCCAGTCAAAGTGATTGAAAAAAAAATAACCTTAAAAACAATAAAAAATACAGTCTGGAGCTGACCAGTCCCAGTTGACGGCGCCCGTTCACGAACATGACACGTACACCAGCACCGCCCAACTCAACCATATTGTAGGGAATCGTGCGATCCACTGCACGCGCCACCGCCAATGAGACCTTTGAGTGAGCATGACAACTCCAAGCTGACACAAATAAATTTTACTAATCTGATTTAATATTAAGTTAATTACAGGGCTCTCACATTTACAACGCTTATCTAAGTTAAACAACATACAATTTAGCAATATGGTTGTATTATTTACGATTTCATTAAAACAACAGTGTTTTTAGTTATCCTGTGGAGCCGGACTAGCCTGCATCCAAGCATTTTTATCCTCTATATATTCATTAAGTTTGTAATATGCTTGTCTACATAAAGTTTTCTTTATACATAATTTAAATTTGGATTCATTTAGTTGTTGTACATCGCCTGGTATCTTATTATAACATTTAACACAGAATCCCATGAACGACTTACTTACTTTCGCTAATCTCGAAATTGGCTGACTTAATCTATTCTTATGTCTTGTTTGATTTAATTAAAGTACCTATGTAAGCTTGTAAGCTTTATCATGAAATGCAAAGGGATAATAAACAGACATTCAAATAATTAATATTGATTGGTATTAATAGTAATTTATCGATTGAATTGTAATTATTGTCCCCTAATTGAGCAACACGTGTGTTTTAAATAAATTATTTTAAAATTAACATTAATCTATTGATACTAATCTATCTCTAAAATAAATCTCTGCTTATAAAGTTGAAAAAACTCGTTAAAAACAACCTGCAATGCCGTAGAGTTATATAAGTGTAACCAGATTTTCCGGCGTCTAGGTAATGCCATGAAAATGGGCGAGCGGCTTGATGTTTATCGTTTATACTCTCTCTATATCCCAAAACATTTTTTCTTTTATACGAAACACCTATATGATAGAAGAAAAAAAAAGATAAACGAGCGTTCCTATGTTAGAAAGAAGTGATCCCCTTCATTGATAAATCGTATGATTAATATCCTTACTTACGCAAGTTTATTCGTGTATACTTCCCACACAGTTTATTTGCGATTAGATATTAAAACTAAATATATTCTAAAACTTATTTACAAGTCAGTGTCAATTCAAAATATGTTCACAATCACAAGTTGTCACAAAGTTAGGAAGTTCCGAACGATCTTTTGTGGAACACGGCGGGATCGGCGAACATGCTCACCCGCCTACGACTCGCGAATAACTGAAAACGTTCAAGCTTTCACGTCTCTGAAACTGACGAGTGCACACAGGATGGCTTTCAGCGCTACATATCGTGTTCCTTAAAGCCTGGCTGAAAGGTTTTAGTGACTAACTGTTTTAATGGTCGCTGAAAATAAAATAAAATAACTGATGAAAATACGGTTCAATTAGATGAAAACAAAAGGGTCAAGTAAAGTTACGGACATTGACTATTTATTTTTAGTTGTTTTATTTATTCAGTCGTTGATATAGGTATTCTCTATAACATGTATTAAAGATTATTTAAATTAATCACATGAAATAAATAATTTCACTTAGCTTAACTCTTTCCATTCGAAATAAACAAGTCAAAGTTACTATAAAAATAGAAGACTTCCTTAAAAGTTACAGCTTAATGTTAGGCTCATAATAAATAGTATTCGATGATATCTCACTAATTAAGACGACAAGGCCACGACCACCGAGCCCAATTAATCTAAACGCAAGCGCCTGATCGTTTGGTCTGATGTAAAACGCACCTCATTAATATTTCGTGAGCTTCCTGGCAGGCGCTATTTCATGCCGGAATTTCTGAAGATAAATATGAATAGTTTTAATGGAATTACGTAACTATTGTGGTCAAACAATCAACTCTCTGATGAGTTCCAATCCGGTATAATTTTCAAAGTTTGCACATTATTCTACCTTGGATGCTGACCCCTTTATTTATGCGATTCTAAATTAACTAGTTCCTGAACTCACAGGATTATAGTTCATATAGTATAGATAATTACCCATGTAACTAACTGGTTGCTGTAATCTTATATTTACATTTTTAGCAATATGGTAAAGTTGAGCGGTGCTGGTGCACGTGTAATATACCTACGTGAATGGGCGCCGTAAACTGGGACTAGTCAGACTGTATGATTTATGATTGACTGTATGATTTATGATTGACTATATGATTTTATTGTCCTTAGGGTTATTTTCTTTTTCGATCTATTTGACTGGATTTTGGAGTTGCATTGTTCTGACTGTGACTGGAAACTGTATTGTGAACCTGATTGGAAAAGAGTACCTAACCTATGGAGTTTCTTGCTCTTTCTTCTCCATCTACACCTTTTTTTGAGGGGGGAAAATCAGCCATTGGCTTCTCCCGCCCGGGTGAGTCAAGAGGGATTGTCAGACTCTTACTGACTAAAAACCACCCCGTTCCTACTCCTTCGCACTTCGAACCGGAGCCCCGGCAACCCGTTAAGTCTTCCGCGGCTCCGTATTAGCATCAGCCCTGTTGGGCCTATCTGTAGTGGTCTGATGGCTCCTTGAAACGCGCGCAGAACGCGACGCGCCGCACGCT